GAAGTTAAATTTCATTTGCAAGGATGGGCCTAGGGAGCTGAGTTGGCTCCGAAGGAAGGAAAAGTCTCCCCAAAGGGCTGCCCACGCTCCCACCGCCCAGGCCCTGGACCCCTGAGGTGCGCCCAGCCAGCCCCAGTGTTTAGCTGTTGGAGTGGGAACATCCTGAGAACATCAGGCTGCTTCTGAAAGTCCAGGGAAAGACATTTTACCCCCAGTGGTGGGGAGGGCAGCCAGCCCACCACGGCCAGCACTGGACAGAGCGTGGGGGAAGGGTGGCCTCAGACAGGGCCTTCTGGGTGCTCCTGGGGGCCTCAAAGGCATCACCCATCACCCACGCCTTGGCCCTTAAAGGGACTTCTCCTGTGTTCGTTTCTCTCTGTCTCTCTCTCTCTCTCTGTCTCTTACCATTGTACTTTTCCCATTTAAATCTGAAATCAGTGCAGAATCGATGTGTATGTGGTGTGAGGTAAAGGTCAGGATACATTTCTTCCATACGAATATCCAATGACCTCGCGTTATTTATCCAAAAGACCATTCTGTACCCACCTCATGCCAATGTTCCCTCTGTCATAAATTGGCCTTATTGTCTCTCATTTTTGTCTTAGGTGTATAGAAATACCAATTTTCTTGTACACCGAAGTTGTATACAACAGCCTTGCTAAAGGCACCTACTAATGCTAGCCATTCACATTTAGGTTCTTTCAGATTTTCTAGTTATATAATCATGTTATTCGTGAATAATGATAGTTATTTGTTTTTGTTAATCCTCACTCGAGGGCATTTTCCCCATTGATTATTAGAGAGAGGGAGGGAGGGAGAGAGACACATTGATGTGAGAGATGCATCAGTTGGTTGCCTCCCACATGGCCCCAACTGGGGCCGGGGATTGAACCTGCAACCCAGGTACCACGCCCTTGACCTGGAATCAAATCTGAGACCCTTCTGTGCACGGGCCGGCCCTCTAACCACGGAGACACACATAAGGACAGTTTAGCTCTTCTTTTCTGATCCTTATGCCATACGTTTCTTTTTCTTGCCTGATTGCACTGGCTGGGCCTCCAGTACAACACTGGGTAGAAGTGGCCATAAAGATACAAAGAACTTGTCTTATTCCCGGTTTTAGGAGAAAAGTTTTCAATATTTCATCGAGTAAGATATTTCGCCTCCTGTGTTCTTTATTTTTTTAAACATATTTTTATGTTTAAAAGGGAGACAGAGATAGAAACATCAGTGATGAGAGAGAATCATTGATCGGCCGCCTCCTGTACGTCCCCTACTGGGGACTGAGCCTGCAACCTGGGGATGTGCCCTGACCGAGAATCGAACCGTGACCTCCCTGTTCATAGGTAGACGCTCAACCACTGAGCCACGCCGGCTGAGCTCTCCTGGGTTCTTTAGGAAGATATCCCCGCTTTTCCCAGGAAGGAAAAGCACACCAGGCGAGGAACGGAGGGGCAGCACAGCAAGCGCCCCTGGGGGACCCCGCGCCCCACTGCCCAGCCAGGTGACCCAGGAGGCCACACGGCGCCCACCGAGCCCGTTTCCCACCTGTGACTGGGAAACAGCCTCACTCCCAGTTCCGACAGCTTTGTGCTGAGGAGCAAAAGGGGGTGATGTTAGTGAAAGCACTTGGTAGACTCTAAAGCAGCGGTTCTCAATCTGGGGGTCGAACGACCCTTTCACAGGGGTCGCCTACGACCATTGGAAAACACATATTGAATATATCATTACATATTGTTTTTGTGATTAATCACTATGCTTTAATTATGTTCAATGAAAATACATCCTGCATATCAGATATTTACAGTTATGAAGTTGCAACTAAAATAGTTTTATGGTTGGGGGTCACCACAACATGAGGAACTGTATTAAAGGGTCGCGGCATTAGGAAGGTTGAGAACCACTGGTCTAACACACACAGTGACACCATGGCCTCGGTGCTCACGGTTGGCAAGGCTAGCACGGCCCGAGGGAGGGCGCAGGACACTCTGCCCTAGGGGTGGGGACGCGCCAGTGGGGGGACGCGGGTTGTGTGTGGGGGTGTGGGGGTGTGGGGGTGTGGTGTGTGAAGGTGGGGTGCAGTGTGAGGGGTGTGGGGCTGTGTGTGAGGGTGTGGGGGTGTGGGGATGTGGTATGTGAAGGTGGGGTGCAGTGTGAGGGGAGTGGGGGCTGTGTGTGAGGGTGTGGGGGTGTGGGAGGTGTGGTATGTGAAGGTGGGGTGCAGTGTGAGGGGAGTGGGGTTGTGTGGTGCGTGGGCGGGTGTGGGGAGGGCAAGGGGTGGCCGAGAAGCAGAGGGAAGGCCGGCCACTCCAGGTCCTTCACCACCACCCTGAGCCAGGCCTGGTGCCGGGACCTCAGAGCAGGAGTTTTCAAACCTAAAGAGAATCGGAATCCCCTGGATCTTGTTAAACACAGATCCCGCCCCCACCGCCAGCTTCTGTTCTGTAGGGCAATGCACTGAATGGGTGGGGCCCCCTTGATGGGGTTAGTGGCCCTCAGGTTACCGCCAGCTTTCCTGCTGGGGGTCTCGGCTGAGCCCCCTCCCATACCTCCCCAGAGCCTCAAGCAGGCTGTGGGGCCGGGTCAGGTTCTGGCTGGCGCCTTCCCTCCAGCACCTCCCCATCCTGAGCAGGGACGCCCACCCCTCACGCAGCTGGACTTCTCTACGGACCAGCTTAGAGCAGAGTGCGATGCTGCCTCGTCCTCTCTCACGGGGACTCGGCACACATCGCTGAGACAACCGCGTCCTGGGCAGCCTCCGCGGCACCCTCACCATGAGACACACTTTGTCTGAAGCCAGAAAAAAAAATCCCATTGCTTCCCTTGCACGGTGATAGCGCCATCCAGGGCCTGGGCGGGCTTTCCTGCAGCCCGGCCCCGCCTCCCATCGCTGGTGAAACCCGACTCCAATTAAACCACAAGCTGGCTGACTCAGATCCTGAGCAATTAGGAGTGCCAGGCCTCTCTAATTAACCAGCGGCCCCTCTCCCTTCCCACCACAGCCCTCCCCTAATGAGGGCGGGCAGCCTGGGCGTGCGGGCCCAATTACTGAGGGGCGGCTGCCACAAGTGCCCGCCTCAAGGGTTCCACCCGCACACTCGTTAGCTTGTGGCTGCTGAAACCGGCCAGGGCTCCTGCAGGAGACGCCTCCGTGTGGCCAGGAGCCCCCGCAGACCTGCCCCCAGGCCTGGATCTGGATACTCCCCACGTCCGATCGCCCCAGCAGCCTGCCCATGGCCACACGCCTCCGGGACACACCTGCCCGCCGGTGCAAAAGGTGAGGAGGTAGGAAGTGGAGATGGAAATAAACAGAAGCGCCCCAGTCACTGGCGAACCCAGAGTGGAGGGACCCGGATACCCCCCGCTAGGCCAGTGCCCTGTTACAGCTCTCAGGCCCCCAGGGCTGCCTCTGTAACCCAGTCACATCTGTAATGAATTACCCACAGTCCCAGAGGGCAGGGTCTGTGTCTCCACACCGCATCCCTGTGCCGGCACCAGGAGGAGTCCAGGACGTATTTGTTGGCTGAGAGAACGGATGACACGGTCCTCCCCTCCCAGACACCAGTGCCCCGATAGGGGCTAACGCTTGGCTGGGGGCTCTCCTGGTTCTCTAAGTGATCCAGGCCTGGCTGGTGGCGGCAGGGTGCCTGGGTGATATCTTTGATCATCTCCCAGGGGCCCTGGGGCCCTGTGGACCTGCCCACTCTGCTCAAATGCAGCTTGGCCCTCAAGAGCTCTTCCTTCTCACAAGGCCCATCGCCCACAAGGCAGTGGTTCTCAACCTTCTGGCCCTTTAAATACAGTTCCTCATGTTGTGACCCAACCATAAAATTATTTTCGTTGCTACTTCATAACTGTAATGTTGCTACTGTTATGAATCGTCATGTAAATATCTGATATGCAGGATGGTCTTAGGCGACCCCTGTGACAGGGTCGTTCGACCGCCAAAGGGGTCGCGACCCACAGGTTGAGAACCGCTGCACAAAGGTCTCAGCTCTGCCCCATGTCTTCAAGTCCCCATGATCTCGCTTCTGTCCCTCCTCTAAGTTCCACACGTTCCTAAGTCAAATCTGATGTCATGTCCCGCGTTTTTTCTTCTTTCGGTCCACTTCTCCCTGCCCTCGGGCCTGCGTCCTCACAGCCCGGGGCTTGCCCAGCCCGTTTCCAGCTGCACGTCTTTGCTGTGCTGCTCTCCCGTGCCCGGAATGCCCCTCACTCTACTCTCCGCCTCTCAGAAGGCTTCAGGAGCCAGCGCCTCCAGGCAGCCCTCCCGATTGCTCTTAGTCCTGGAAACCTTGGTCCCCACTATGGTCAGCATCACTCCAGAGAATACTGTCTTCCCACTTTGACCATCGGGACCTGAGGGAAGTGATTGTTATGGACACGTGTCCTTTTGGGTTCCCCTAACCCAGAATTAGCCCACAGCAGGCTGAGAAAGCAGACCGATAGCATAGGAAGTGCAATCCTAGCATACGATTGGGCTCGGAGGAGAGTTGTATTTACTTAATAAAAACCAATAACGTTTATTGAGGACTTACTGTGCCATACAAGGCTTTAAGAGTTCTGCATATAATATTTAACCTGCATAACTCTAGAAGGCACGTAGTATGACAGTCCCCATCTTACAGATCAGGACGATGATAAAACACATGATTAAACAAGCGTTCTGAGGTCATGCGGCTAATGGGAGAGCCTCATTCTCACCTGGACCTGTGAGGCCCAGAGGTCCACTCCCCAGGGCTGGTCCCAGAAGCCAGGCCATCTGACCTTCAGGCTCCAATCCTTCCCACCAGGAAGCATAGGGTACCATGTGCTTACACATGTGTATACACACACACACACACACACATGCATGTGCGTACACACACGCATGCACACACACACACACACACACATGCACGCACTCCTGGGAGCCAGGATGCAAAGCCACAGAGCTGGGCCAGCACTAGAACTGGTCCAGGCTGGGCAGCCAGCGTGGCAGGGCCAGAGCAGGGCCTTACCTTCCTGCAGTCTTTGCAGAACACGGACGAGCTGCCCAGATAGCCCAGCACCTCTCCACAGAGCAGACACTGGGACAGGCCGTTCCCCATCACGTTGCGCCTCATGGTGTCCAGCCGTTCCACCAGCCGCCTGCAGCACAGGACACAGTCCGATGGGAGGGACTTCCTGTCTCCATCCCGACCACTGCCCGGACATGGCTGCCTTGGGCCCCACCCTACACAAGCCTCGTGTGCTGTTCCCTCGCCCGGGGCACTGTTCCCTGCCTCGCCTCTTTCCCTGGCTAGAACCCCTAATCATTCACTTACTCGCCAATACTGATTGAGCATCCGTGAGGTGCTGGATGCTGGGAATATGGTAGCAAACAAGCCAGAGGCAGACATGGTCCCTGCTCTCACGGAACTTATGCTCAATAAAGGGAGAAAGTCCAGGCACAAGGAAACAAGCAAACTGCCTTCCGAGGGGAAAGCGCCATGAAATAAAGTGAGTGGGCGGGAGGGAGGCTCCGAGGGCCAGGGGCATGTTAGACGTGACCCGGGGAGGCCTCTCTGAGGACATCCGGCTGAGAGCTGAAGGATGACAAGGACCGAACCATGTGCAGAGCTGGGGAGGGAAAGCCCGAGGCAGAGGGAAGCCTGGAACGTTCCTCGTGAGGAAGGGCCCGCACATCAGCATGATCAGAAGGCCAGGGTGGCTGTGCTCCGAGCACCCGGCAGGGGGCCTGGGATGAAGGCAGGCGGGAGGGGTGAGGAAGGCGGATTACATGGTTCTGTCGGCCACAAAACGGAGCTTGGATTATTCTCTCAGATCAATGGGAAGCTACTGAGGAGTTTTAAGCAGAGGAGTGATTTGATCCGAGTGACATTTTTAAAAGCTCACTCAGGATTACAGGGG